GAGCCGCTCCTCGCCAGGTTCGATCTCCAAGCGTCCACAGTCGGATAGGGGGCCATGCGGCGCTCGGATCGCTCTATAGGGTTCGGTGGCCCCAGCACCACTGTTTGCCGGAACAGTTCTAGCTACTCAGAGCGGCCTCCAACCACATGTGGATGGGGTGGGTCAGAAGACACACATGGACATCCCACACACACACATGTGAGCAAGCTATAGTCATTGACGCACCAATAGAGGTGTGCCCTGGAGTGTGCGGAAACCTCCCAGGCGTTCCGACCTCCTGGAAGGTTCGGAACATAGAGCAAAACCATCCAAAACTCATTGATTGGCCGATTTCAAATTACGAGTGACTCGTGTGCTGCCCTGCTCAAAAACAAAAAATCGGAAATATAGATGAATGTTTCCAAAATCAAGCCACCAAAAAACAGAACAACTGGCCAAGCAACCAAATCCACTAAAAATGGAAGCTGCGCGCTGCGCAGCCAAGTTGGTTCATTTTTGGTAACGTTTAGACCCAACCACTAGAATTGACGATTTTTTTCCTGAAGTTGGCCCACACCTCATCTAGCTTGAAACACCATCAGTTGTGTGAAAAACCTTCCTCTTAAAAATATAGTTGCGCGAGCATTTACCTTTCTTTTTGGCTTAATTTTTTAACTGAAAGAATACCCTGCATGGCAGGATACGCCGCCAGGTTTTTCCGCCATTTTGCTGAAAAACGAGGCGTTATATTGTGTACGCTAGGGTTTTGGCAATATGATACGAATTTGCGCCCAGTTTGTATCATCATGGTACGAACTTGCCCTCAGTTCGTATCATATGATACGAACTCCCCCTCTTCGATGATACGAACATGGTACGAACCAATTTTGAAAAAACTGCCGTAGTACGAACTATGGTACGAACTGTGGTTGCAATGTGTTTGCTGCATTATCTTAGGTGGGTTCAAGCGACGATTCAACAAGTCCTGAAAGTGTTTGAAACTTTTTGTGAACATATAAAACGGACTGGTCGGTGAGCAAACTGGAAAAACATTTCAGGAAAGCAATTTGGATTTAAAAGTCTAATTTGGGTTTACGTTGCCGACTTTCTTATTTGAAAAAATTGGTGGTGGAGAACCAGCTAGAAGTTCACAAGAAGGCGTTGTATCAAATCATTGCGTCCAACCACCAATTCGTCCCAAAAAAAAGGAATCGGAGAAAAAAACACGTATTATTTTAGGTTTCACGAAAAAACCTGGCGGGTCCCATATTCTTATTGAAATTGCAATGTATTGAAAACCAAGGTGGTCCTTAAGGACCCACTTTTGCTGAAATCAGCTCGTTGGCATTAGTAGGACATCCCACACACACATGTGAGCAAAGAGGTGTGCCCTGGAGTGTGCGGAAACCTCCCAGGCGTTCCGACCTCCTGGAAGGTTCGGAACATAGAGCAAAACCATCCAAAACTCATTGATTGGCCGTTGACGGTATTAAGTTATACACCCCCCATCTTCGCTGGTCATAGTTTGAGGGGAGTTCTTCTCTTTTGTCCTCAACTCCCCAACTCCCGACATCTCGCCTCAGCGTCCAGCTCAGAGAGCTTGCCCTGGCGCCGGCGTTAGACGAGCTCGCACCCACCGGTACCAGGGAGAGTCCTTCACGTTGGGACGGACCCACCAAATTCCATGCAGAACCCTTTCAACAACATTCCAGAAACCACTTGACTCATTGACATTGATGCAAGAAATCGCACCAACGGTACGGTTGGGTATCGTTTTTAATGGTATTGTGCCGGCAATGGTGCGTGTTGTCCTGAAAACCCGTTCTTTCAACTGCCGGACTCGTTCGCAAAGGGCCTTTCTTTAAGGCTTTTCGAGTTGACCTCTCTACCCCTCGGGACTTCGCAGCTCCGGTGGACGGGACGTCGTCTCCCCCTTCGTCCGACGTCCGTCGCCGTCGGCCTGAGAAACGATTTGCTCCGCCGCTTCCAAGGAGGTGGGCTTCAAGTCGGTCTCCTTGGGCTTCCAGGCCTGGAACGTAGACGTAGACCGGCAATGAACCGGTGGACCAGTCTTTTTGGGGCTAAAAACCACAAGGGGTGGAGCGCACACACATGAGAGAGCTTCAACCACCAGGAGATGAAACTGTATCACCAGCTTCTTAAATACGTTTAAATGCGTTTTAAATCCCGAATTAACCCAAAAAGGATGACAGAATCGTGGATCCACCTCAAGAAATACTGTAGATTAATCATAGAAATATGAATGGCATCCCACGGAGATCCCGGGTCGTGTTCTGGAAAGATGGGTGTACAAGGGTCTTTCACGCCCACAACCCAAAAAGAGACCATTTCAGTCCAGCAATGTAGACGCTTGATTGATATCAAAGAAAAACATATTGAAGAGGATTCAAGAGGTTTTACAATCCAACTGAAGCGGTCTCACTAATCAACAGTCTACATTAATCCATTCGAGATTCATTTCCATCCTGCAATCTATTGGGGGTCTTCCCTTTCCACTGCGTGACTCTCCCTCGCCTCCACCGTTTGCGACACAGCATTGCTGACCTGGCGACAGTGCCGCCGAGATGACTTGAAGCCCAATGCTCATGGGGCGTCATACAACTCCATGAGTCAATGAGACAATGGAAAAGGGAATGAAAGAAAAGAACAGATTGAAACGATCAAAAGGATTCGTAGCTTCCTTCGGCGCCGCTTCCTTCGGTGCCTTTCTTTTCCAAGAAACACCGAGGGCCTCCGCTCCCCCTTCAGCACCTGCTGTTCCAGTTCAGGTGTGAGGTCCACCGGATAGAACTCCTCGGGCATGGCCTCAGAAACTGCTGAGATGCGAAAGGTCGAGGCGCTGAGTTGCTCAAACTCAAAAAGAATGCTGCCATCTCCAGCCACTACCAGCAGGGGAGTGTGAAATGTTCTTTTTGCGCATCTGTCATCACTTTCTCATTGAGGACAGCTGAAGAAGATCAGCTTCAAGCCCAGGATTTCTTCGGGAAAAGCTTGCTGTAAAGCTCCTCGACTCAGTCGGACTCCGTCGGATTCGGTCATGTTTGGTCCATTTTGCCTGGACCACTGGTGATGCAGGAGATTGATTGAAAAATCCATCTAACACGCTTCGTGACATTTCCATCTCCAGAGCGTACAAGTAACAAGCATGAAATTGAGAACTTGTTCTGTGACTATAGGTTCTATAAGGTGTCGCTATAGGTTCTGTGACTATTCTTCTTCTCTAAGGTCGAAGATTTGGGTGCAGGTCACTAGGTTCCAGGTCGAAGCCTGCAGACTCAGGTGTCGCTGTCGATCCTCTCCCCACGTCGTCCATCGATCCGGTTGTTTCTGTTTCAACGCGCAGAGACCGAAACAACCCATCGAAGATCATCAGTTACCAGGAAGGTCTGACCTCCAGGCGCAAAAGAACACAAAAAACACGCGCTGCTTCCAGGCGTCACGCTCGTCCTCCGACGGGTGCGGTGCGGTTCGGAACGCGATGAAGCGAACGCCCGGTCCTCGCGGAGCCGGAGCCTGGCCATCATGGAAGGGTTTCCACCAAGCAGGATGTCTGTACCTGGCAGATGGCTTGATGGCCGCGCCCACAAAAGGTGACAAGGAAGGCGAAGATATTACCCATCCGTCCCCTCCACGGCAGTGGCACACCTGAATAGAGAGGTCACGATTCTCAGAGGATCAGAACATCATACAGTAGGCCAGTAGGTGATTAGTTACGGTGAGTTTACCAGGAATCGTTTTCGTGACTTCTGCGAAGCCATTCATCCGGGTGTGCTACAGACTACATGGTGTCAACTGTGCATCTGATCTATGTTTGGCGCAAACCACAGCCATGCGTTTGGGGAGCTCTCTGGCAAAGGCGGTGGTGATGCTGGTGGCGGCGGTGGTTCGGGCCGTAGCGTTTCTGTTTCTTGTTCGATTGACATTGTGATGACGGAACAACAGGACAATCTCAATTGAGTCAATCTATAATTGATGTCAATTGATGCCAAAAAAAAGACGGTCAACAGGAGATTAATAAACCCAAACGAGAGATGTCCAGGTCTCCTGTACAGGTTTTCTTGGAGAACATTTCTCCACATCGTTGTTGCTCAGGCTCCCCAACGCAAACGTCTAGCACTAATTGCCAGAACCTTGGAAATACCCTTTCATCCTGCAAAAATGTATCCTCCTAAGTTTTCATTACTCGATACCATCCCTCAAAATGCTGCCAGAACAAAGAAATCAAGGCGAAACACCGGACATACACTAAGCTTCTTCCTCTCTTTGAAGTTCCTCAACCTGGTCCAGCCGCCAAGCTCTCTTGAAGACCCTTCAGCCAAAAAGAAAGGCTAGCCTCTCCTCGAACCAAGACCCTCCGAACCTCGACCAGCCATGTTGGTGGCAATGGTCACCGCCTTGGACTTCAACATCCCACCCATGGCCACGGCCCGCTGAGAAACTTGGATGACCCAGGATGACTAGGGTCGAGGTAACGCTTTATGTTGGTGTTTTCTTCGGCTACACCGTGGTCTTTGTCGTTCGTTTGGGTCGAACATGGGAGGTCCCGATTGAGTTTATGGAGGCAGGAGTCCTTTATTTCTCTCCCGCGTGATGGAGTGGTGCAGGGATGTGCAAGTGCTGCAAAGTATGCTTGGCACAAGGTCTTGCTTGGGATCAAGATGATCCAGCCTCGCAAACAAAGTCACTCTGGCCCTTTGAACTGCTTTACTCTGGAAACCGACGTGCTCCACTCCAAACAAAGCGTTGTCGAGTCATCACGTCGGGCGGAAGTCGAAGGATCTGCAGCCCCAACCAGTTCAAGAATTGAGAAAACCAATGGTTCTTCATTCCCCGAAGCTCCGGTCCGGATCTGTTATTGAGATCACTCTACTCGAGAGAGAGAGAGAGAGAGAGAGCGATGTCTGTTTTTGTCGTCAACTGGTCAACTTCTCAAACCAAACACTGTGGAGCTTCTGAGTCTAATATATTCTCGTCCATCTTTTTCTTGTGCTGCAGAAGAGTCACACACACGAAGTCCCCTTAAACCGCCAGCCGCCCCCGCCCAGGCGACCCTTGCGGCCCCGCACGTACTTCCGGCCACTGGATGCCACGATCTCCGTCTCGCGCGCCACGTTCTCCGGCTTCGCGTTCAACAGCTGATAGGCCCTGCGTGGTCAAAACAGCGAGCTGAATTGTCGCCAACCGTGCGGTTGTCATGTTGGGGCCAGGCGTGAACGGCTTGGTGTTGAAACGATCCACGGACAGCCTCTGCCCCAAGCTGTTGGATCTGGTGTGATCGACTCAGGTGATATGGTCATTGGTCAGCAACCCTAGGCTTCTATTCCAAAGTAAAAGCAAGGTTGGACTGCAACAAACAGCAAAGACTGGATTTATCGAGTTCCGGTCGATCAGTAATCACAGGCTCAGATTCTCTATGCAAAGACTCACTCAGCGTTTGTGCCTCTGTGTTCAAGAAATCTACAGTAAATCCTCGCAACAGACTAGGCAACTTTCCCTAGTTGGAATGCAAAAGGTCCCCACGTGCCTCAAAGACACAATCATCGTACCAGCTCTTTAGTTGGTACAGTTCTTGCAACATCATTTCAGCTTCATCATCCCTCAAACAAGGAAGCTATACAGGTTGATAGATAGACGGGACACCGTATTCTAGCAGTCAACTGGACCTGGAATCCTGTCCCGTTCAACCCCCAAAATCCAACCCCTAGCTAATAACCAATAACAACTTCTCAGAACAGGAGAAGTAAGATCAAATCTGTGGACCCCATCCAGATTCTCAAGAAACCATCAAGTTCCCTGTGCATCCCAGCCACACGTGCCGTGGCGGTGGTGTTCACCGGAACCACCGGAACCACCGGAACCTCCGTCATTCCGAGCGCGGTCGGGTCTGGTGCCGGGTGCGCCGGACACACCCAAGGCGTCCAGGAGCTCGGCGATGATCTCGGAGTTCTCCACCTCAGGAGCTCGGCGCGCCGACGCGCGAAGGACGTCCACCGGCCGTGGCGCCATGTTTTTTGGAAAAAGAAAAGAGCCGCTAAATTGGGGCAATATGTTTTTTGTTGGGGGGTGAATGCTAGTCAGAGTGGTATGTTCTTTTGTGGAACGTAAGTGTTTGTTCCTGTGCGCTTTTTCCTTCAGTATCAGATTTGTTCTGACCTGAATTACTTTAACAAGATTGTGCGCATGATTATTTGGTGTTGTCTTGGTGCTACTGTGCAATTGGTTGTTGTATCTACTCAATGATGGCTGTAGCACTTCCACCCAAGTGTTGGTCTTGTGATGCCTCACTCTGTCCCCAATCATTATTTTGATGTTGCATATCACCCTTTCTGCCTTACTTTAATTTATATAACACAACAATGGTGAACATTTATGATGATGATTAATGATATATTATGAATGAACTAAGCAATGTTTAACAAGATTGATTTTAGACGATTTTAGGAATAAAGTATTTCTAGGACTAGATTTTTATTCCTACAATTGAACGAGGTTATACAATGCTTTGATGTTGATGATTTTGATGAGGACATATGATGAAAATACATGAGGTGATATGATGTGATGAAATTCTGTGATGTTGTCCTGACATGTTGATGAGTGATATGAATGGATGATATGAATTCCTACAACCCCTATGTTAGATATGTTTTCCCCAAACCCCCCTGCAAATGCACCTGTTCCCCTCCACCGGGCGCCGGCACGTTCGTGGTCCCGATGAGCACCGGTCGCCCAATGCGGTGGGCATTCTCCACCTCGCGTGCCACGGCCTGGCGTCATCGGCCACGGTCGCAACTAAACCAACATGCTGAGGAGGTATGACATACACTTAGTATGTTTATAAAGATGAATACAGTATTAACCCTTGAAGATCCTTAAAGCCTTTATACAGTTTGATGTGTTTCAAGACCAAACATCTGACATGAGAGGAATTCTATTCCAAAACGAATACAACATCTCCATCTTTTCTCCAAGCGAGTCGATGACTGGGACAGTAGTTGATGCAAAGCCGTAAACGAATGAATCTCCTTGAATCAATGGACATGAAGCACCCGGAAGCACTTTTTGGCTCAATCAAGCTGACATCAACCCAAATACGACACGTTAAAAATCATGGAAGCGGAAAACCACCTGTTTGTAGTAGTAGAGGGAAAGGTCTTCCAAGGAGCCATGTTCGACTTCCATGATTGTTCCAAGGAGTGCTACCTGCTGTGCTACCTGCTGTTCTATCATTTTACATTCCAAAGACTTCCTGCGGGGACGGTCAAGCATTGGTGGTCCTCCAACAAATGTTCTCCTTAATCGGGTTATCAAAGTAAAGTCCTTCATTCAGTGGTATTTTCCAAACCCCCGGTCAACTCTAGCTCACCCCTCCAAACGAAAACCCTGAGGCTGTTGAGGGAACTTTGAAAAAAATGACGTTGTTTCTCTACATGTCATTGGGGTTATATATGGTTACATAGCTACGTTATACAGTGGATTGAGTGGCACAAAAAGGTCAGAATTGAGTTAAAGTAGAATGGAGGCAGAGGCCATGATGACCATCACAGAGTTTTGTCCACCAGCCCAAAAACAATTGGAACTTGAAAATGAGCCGAAGACCATTTCAGTACAAAACCTTCTCCTCGCATTCCCATATTACTCTGCAGGGGGAGAAGAGGCAGATCCTCCACTTGACCGGTGCCTTCCACTTGCCGATGTCATCCACATAGACCTGATCGTCCTTGTCTGCACGCTTCCTGGTCCGAAGGTCCCCGAGGTCGCACCCGGTCGTTGCGGCACCCCGAAAGCCGCTGTTCCCCAGTGCTTCATCTGGCTCATGACATCAGTCTTACTACACTTCCTGAAAGAATCATGGAAAGTGGATTGGCACCACCCACTTTGTAGAGGAACATGGTCGTTCTACGGGATCATGTCATAACTAACATGTCACTCCGGGCTGAAAGAGCTTCGCAGACCGAAGAGTCGGCGGAGTGAGACTTCAGCTGGGATCCCATTTCCAGCTCATGGTTCCGAGTTATTCGTGTCCATGTCGAACTGGGAACTACTGCAGCCCTACGTATCCACGTGCACGAAGAAATTTGGCTTTCAGCTGCGCCTCACCAGATTTGGAGGCACGACGACCTCGGAACGCAATGGTCTTGGCCTTCCAACGTTAACTGACCGATTGAGGCCCTCAAATCGATGGAAACGCATTCCCATGCGCAATACTAGAGATGTTCATTTGTTGCTCCATCAGGTTCTATCTTTTGGGGGGTCACGGTGTCACGAGTATATATATATATAGGCATGAACCTTAAAATGCTTGTTTGATGAATCAAACCGATTGACGTTTAAACACCTGTACGAACCTTGATCTACTCCAGGTTTCCTGTGAAGGCTGAGGGTTAGCTTGAAATTGTGAACATTCTGTATTGAAGTGTCTGCTGTGTCAAGGCTTTCAAGGCCCGCATGAGTTTGGAGAGGGGGAACCTCGTAAACCATGAACACCCACAGAGCTGCCCACATGTCTAACTTGTTCAGTTTGCCAAACCACCCTGAGATTAGGTCTATTACACGTGTCCAGTTATCCTGTCATCGGGGCTTTTTGCCAAATCAACCTGAGACTCCAAACGGTCTTCAACTTGTAGACCTCCTCAAATTCCTTCGCTTCAGTGAAGGCTGTACCCGTCATGCCACTCAGCCTGCAGTGGCGACGTCGAGGCGTCTCAACAGACATGCGATGAACCAAGGTCCCCTTATAATGTGTATGATATGTTTATACATATATTGTACCCCCAAAAAAGAAACACCTTCGGATCAAGATTAGTTGTGTTTTAAGATACTTTAAGTGTTTGGGACTGATGTTGATATATATTTTGTGCTGATATAACTTGTTGTTTTTGATGCAACTTTGAATCACCAAAGATTGGTTGTTTGTCTTTTGGACAAGAAGAAAGCAAAAACAAAAATCACCATGTGTGATTGCTTTTTGTGGTTGCCAGATCATCTCAAAAACAATAAAGAAAAATGTGTTCCTTTTTGATGAATGGCCCCAACAAAATAATGAAAACCAAAAATCATGTTTCAGGCTGAAACAAAAGATTCTCCTCAGAGTTTTGGTTTTTGGTTTTGGCAGTCTACAGGGAGAAAACCAATAAACATGCCATATTCCCCTTAACGAAGTCTGATCTTGAATTTGTTGCATCCCTTGCTCCTTTTATTTGCCCCCATGTCAACTAGAATATATAGTCGTTGGCGATTTTGCCGTTCAAATAGGCAAAAACATTGTGGCACAAATCATTGGTATTATGATAAGCAAGGCATCTGAATCGCAAAACACAAGTAACATTGTCAATAGAACAGACTAACTAAGAGGGGACGAGGAACATGCTAGAAGAATCTAGAAGATACGGGGTATTGCTTGGGTTCAAGTATGTGCGCATGATCATGCTTGCCAGCCAGGGGTAGGGGCCAAACATGCCTTGAGCGTTTGGCATAACTCCGTGTATTCTTGATTGATTCTCAATCATCTTCGAGAAGATATGTGCAAATGGAATAAGAAAAAAAACATAGTATGCATAACAAAAATGATTTCAGCAAGAGGCAAACACAATTGAGACTTGGAGGAGTTTGTTGGGAAAAGGGTTCGGTTAATCATACATAGAATATATTACCTGGAAATAACTAAATAAGCAAAGGGTTAACTTGGGAATTCAAGCTGTTTTTGTGCAAGAACAATGTGATTGCTAAGCAAACCAATCACACTGGAGTGCACCAAGACTTCATATGCCATGGTCCTTTGTCTTCACAATATATTTTTTTTGTCGCTAGCGAAAAACTGAGAGAGCATGTCGTGTGGTTCCCGCGAAGGGGACCCTAGCGGCCCTAGAGACAAAGTGCAACAAACAACGCTCATTCGCTTTTGAGTAAGCACCTTCAAAAAGAACAAGAAAATGGAAGGAGGTTTTGGGAAACAGGCACCTGGCTTACACTACCGCAGGCAAATTGTTCATTTTCGCCACGCTCTCTCACACAAATGAGCTTCAATATCTACTTTGCGCCACTCTTCACCAACATAAAAGTCGGCTGCTTGCTGCCTTGCCGACAGCCTGAATTCATATCCGCCCGTGTGTCTTCTGATCCCTTTGGTACAAGGGCTAATGTTGCCAGCATGCACCCGAAGAAGTCTGGCAGCGCTCTTTATGGAAGGATGGAATTGCCATTCATTATTGCTGCCCTCAAGCCTGCTCTCCACCGGCTTGCAATCTGACCTGCAAGAACTTCTGCGCAAGTTTGCGTGATAATGCGCACTGTTTTCGGCCGGGGTGACATATTCCAGGTTTTCGACTGCATTATTCCCCTTATCACCGTCTTTGTGATTCACTTGGGTGCGCTCAAAGCCTGCAGGTCGCCCCAAAAACGCAACTGCCACAAGCCGATGCACAGATTCTGAGCGTCTTCTCCAAGTTAACGCCAGCTGTGTCTGGAAATAACCTTCCTTCAGCTTGTGCCCCTGTGATATCCGACCATTTTGAGATCGTATTCGGCCAAATGAGCTCACCATCCTTCCAGGTACAGCAGTGCCCGACATTGGATCATACATTTGTAGCCACTCCTCTCCCACAAAGGCTGTGCTTTCTGTAGATTCAGCGAGTTGAAACTCGAAACCCTTTGCAGGTCTGCCTTGCCGGGAAGCGCGCGAAACAGTAGAGGTGTCCATCCCGACCTGTTCTGCTGCGTGTGTCATAGAAGGCGAGGTGGTCCAGCCTTCGGACCCCACAGCTCGCCACATCACTGGCTTTGACTGCGCAGGACCACTACTCTGTCTTGACCCTTTGGCATGTGAATAACGCACATTCTGGCGGGGAGTGACGTATTCCAAGTTGTCGAGGCGGTTGTTGGATGAGTTGCCATCGCGGTGGTGCACCTGCCATGCAAGCTCTGACGGTGGAGGTCCCAAGAAAGCAAAGGCGACCAAGCGATGCACTTTAAAAACACGTCCACAAATATGCACATGCCGGTAACCGGATGGATGTGCATATCCGTCCGACACAACTCCGGCCAGGTTGCAACATCGACCATATGAACTCACTTGCCAGCACTTCTCATTCCGGCTTCGAAGCTGATGGGTCGACAGGAATCGACAAGCCTTCGGCCACCAAATCTTTGTCACTATGCAAACAGTCGAGACCTGCAAAAATGCCATGTGCGGCCCCTCTGCACTTTGGCTCAAGGGTTTACCACATCCTGCAAGTGATTTGACGGAACTTGATCCTAAAGAAAACGTTCAAAGCCGGGAATTCACCCTCTGTAGAATTCTACTACTGCCACCAAAGCGCCCATCATTTCATTGTACCCGATCGCTTCATTTCCAGACCCATCGCTGCAGTTCAGCATGTTAGCATAATGTGTAGGCTGGCCTTCTCCAGGAAGCCAGTGATGACTCAAGGTGGTCAAGTCCAGTGCCCCAAGAGCGGAGGAATTTGGAGCTTCTTCGGTGTTCTCAGGGCTGATGATGTCCACGGGTCGTGGCGGCCATGGACGGTGTTCTTGATTTGGCTGGGCGGAATCAACGACCACAACTCATGAGCTGAATTGAATACAAACCGACTATATATATATATACATGAAACTGACCTGACTGGTCATGACGAAATATGATTACCAACTGAATTGAACGAGTTCATTGAAACACACGGTGGGCAATCAACTGAAAAACAGACTTCCCAGAAGTGGAGTCTCCTGCAAAGGGGGCGATCCATGGATCCGTGCTATGTTTGTTTAGATGTTAGGGGTGCTTGCTTCACCATTCACTGCCTGGTATTCAAACCTCACAAACTGAAGAAAGACTGTAGCACATTGTTCAAACCATTGATCAGGCACTTGCATTCCCATTCTCTCCCTCAGCAGATGGCGTATAGGTATCACACAAACAACCGTGGCTATGTACTTGAAAGAGTGCCAGTCAAAGATGTCAGGATCCACTGGCAACTACTTCAACTTTCAACAATTCTCAATTGGTTCATATTCAACAACTTGGACCCTTAAAAGGTCTCAATTGGAGAGGAACACCAACAAGGGCAGTTAGGTCGTCACCCCGTTGTTTCTAGTGAAGTCCTGAGGCCCCCTTTTCCTGGACTCATGCATCTGAGCTGCTTGTCAAAGAGACGGAAAAGGCTTTGGTAGGAAATGCCTCACCAGCAGACAGTGATCAGTGCACAAATGGGACAAAGGCGTGGTTGGCGAAACGAACAGGATGCTTTCGGCAGGGTAAGGGTGCTTTCTCAAAAGACTCTCCCTAAGTAGTTGGAGTTACAGGTCGTACTCATGTAATTAGCACAACGCGCACACAAAAAGCGAACCAGTGAACCAGCGTGACTTGGCATCTTTGGTTAGGCTTCCGCACTGGCCAAGGTCACGGACTCAGCCTGGATCTGCACATTCTCCTTGGCCTCAATGGCCTCGAACCAAAGCGACACAAGACATTTCTGCTTGGGGGGGATGCAGGCCGGGGAGCTTGCAAGAAGGAACTGAAAACGGACGTCGTGGTTCGGGCAGTCCCCACCTGCCGTGAAGGGTTTTTGGTAGGACTCAAGTGCTCCCTCCGAAGTTCAGAAGGATGTGCACCAAGTGGAAGCGAGGGAGGCTTGAGGGGATAGCTGACTTCAGCAAACCAGATGGGAACGAACCTAAGGGATGTGTTGGGGGACTTGATGTTCGACGACATCCGCGTATCCTCCAGAGTTTTCAAGTGCAAACAAATTGCAAGCGCTTGGATGATGAGCATGTCCTCAACTCATTGGTTGCCATGTGGGATGGGTCAAAACCTGGAGTGCTGGTCGACCGTGTGTCGACTCATAGCTTGACCTTCCAGGTGCTCCATGTCTGAGGAACATCGCTTCATCGACCAAAGAGCCTCAAGACGGTTGCCCTGCCTGGTGCAGACCATTGCTCCAGCGTCGGCCCTCCATGACACGGCCTGTGAACTCATCCACGATCCTCAGAAGGTGCAGGGCGGTGTCCATGTGCAGGGCTGACGGACCAGGTGTCCCCTGCCAAAAAAAGACAGAAATGCAACAGAAAAGGGAAGCAATCCGCACAATCAATCCCACCATGCTGGCCATTCACCAGGAAGACCCTTCAGAAATCATCATTAGCGGTATAGACTCAGTAAGATCCCTTTGGGACTGGGTGGACCGTCCGCGACCCTCTGGGAGCGCCACATGACCTCGCCACGCTTCACGATGTAGGCCTTTTTGAAGGAGCCGGAATGAAGAGCTGCCAAGATGGGGAGCAACCCACTTAAACGACCCATGAGAAAAGACCCATTAAGGTCGGACCATCCGGGCTGTGTTGTTGGACATGTTTTTTGCTCAGGATTCATGGGAAGCCGGTGAATTTGGGGGTGGGTCTCTAGGTGTTGGGGAACGGGGAAATGCACACATGCTTGCTTCTTATCCTTCCCATCTACAACCTTTCTACAGTCCTTCTCCATCTGCTCCAGCTCCACCATCCTTTCTAATACGATGCCCTTGGACATGCGAAGCTTCGATGTCCAACGTGCCTTGTCTTTGATGTAGAGCTCTTTGGCATTCAGAGCGTTGGTGACAAAGGGGAACCAGGGGTCCTGGTGTTGGTGGTCTTTGCATGCGACCCCGGTCCCAAATGCTCAGAGCTGAAGTCACCTGGTTGAAGTCCAGTTCTTGACTACTAAGAACCCAAGCTGGACTCTCACGAGTTCTTGTTGGGGGCATTCTGCAGGGTGTTCTGCTTTCTCCTCGCCTTCAGGATGACACGATTGCTTGCTTAGGCGGCAGAAAGCTTAGGAAACAGCCAAAGATTCCTCGCATCTGTGAAAAAAAGGTTTGGCTTCGAGCCTTGGATAATCCGTGGACAGAATGCCATGCTGGCCATGCTCGGCCAGCGCCTCGTTCGTTCAGATTGATCAAAACCGTTGAAGACGTCGTGGAACGCGGAACGGGAATGCGGTCTAGCTGGATCTTGTCTGCGCCATGACTGTGATCATGTTGCTATAGGTTTTTAAAATGGTCACAAAAAAGCTGGTTCCTTTTCAAGCCATCCTTCTGTCCCTCTTCAGCCAATACTACAACCGCCTCAAACGAGGCCATCCCAGAAACACTCTAAGGGCGAGCTATCGGAACACCATACGTCGATGTTCATGCGAGCGACAGAGGTTGACCCAAGTGCTGATCCGCATGATGTTGGATAGTTCTTTCCCCAGACATGGGATTTGAATGGTTTGAAGCTTGTCCATCACGTGCCTGAACCATAGACACTGCTCTTTTCTAGACTGGGTTTCAAAAGAAGGAAGTGATACTTGAATATACTTGACTGCGTCAATTTATGCATCCCTGATGTGCCTCATCCCCTTGAACCATTTGCCAAAACACCCCCCAAACCTTTGGAACCCCACAAAAGGTCACTGCACCACAGCCTTCAGCAGGGCAGCACCACCCTCATCACTTCACCCTCACTGGCTTCAGCCCATGGCAGGTGAATGTCCAGTGCCGTCCTCAGGATCAAAGAGGTCATCCTTCCCCAGGAGCTTCTCGGCCGCTTCCACTCCGCCCTGGAGCGAGCTTCTCAGCGGCGCCCAGTCAGTGCGGTGCAGATTTCGTGTCGCGCGAGACCGGGGGAAGAGATACAGTACGGTATTATGTTTTGATGCACCAAGTTTGGAAGGTTTGGGACCTGGGCAATCCAAAACCTGAAATCCACCTGTATTTCTTCCAATAGAATCTAACCTCCAAAAGCACACTATCTTGTCGGGTTGAAGGAGTTGTTTGGTCTGACAGTATCGGTGCAAAAAAATGACACCCATCACCTCAGATCGGCTTATGTTGCAGCCCCCGAGAGCCGATGCCTGGTGCAGGCGAGATCAAATACACTGTTCTCTGCTTTCGATCGGATGACCAGAAGATGTCTTTTCTGAGACACATCAAATCCCTTCTGAATGTGAAACGGACTGAAGCAGCTGAAAGACAGCTCCTCCAACACCATATATATCTTGATCTGCCCCAAAATCAGACTCACATGGAGCCCATCAATGGATACCTGGCTTTCTGGACTCCTGGCTTTCGAGCTCTTTCGATCAGCTTCCGAAGACCAAGCCGGCCACTTTTCCCGGAACCAGGTTGGCCTCGATGAGCACGCACTGACGCTGCTTCTCATCAACGGTGTAGTGCACCTGGCGGCTTCATTTCAGAGTCTGGCTGACCAAAAACGCCCCAGGCATCGGAAAAAAATGGCCCCTGAGGATTCCATGAAGGTGCTTAAGTTTCCCTAGAAAAACCAGGGGGGACCACTCCCAGTTGATGCCATACCAAGATGAAAGACATGGAAGAGGGAGGTTTTGGGACATCTGACCTGTTTTTCCCTCTCACTTCCGGACCTTCTCGAACAAAAGCCCTATCTCGCCTATCTCCACGGGTTCCAACATCTTCGGCCAGAACCACACCACCGCAGTCAATGGTCTCAGGTTGAATGAGCAAATCAGGGGTGTTGCATTTACTCCTTCTACTGATGGTCGTAAATGGAATGATCAGATGATCACCAACATAGTACTTATGTCTATATATTGTATGTACCTGTGTTCCTCACTCTGGTTTTCTTCTGTGTGGGCTGGTGTAGACCCGAACCCTTCAAAATCCAGAGAGTTCTACCCACCTGGTCACGCCTTGCGATGTCCACCCCATTGGGAGAAGGCCCGCGCCTCCGGCTTCAACGCACGCACCACCTCCTGAGCCACCTGGGCCAAGTGGATGGTGAGGTCACCAGAGTGAAACTGGCATGTTGAACCCAGCCGGTTTGGGGGAGGCATTGTTGAGGGGATGTTGACCCACGTCCACACGAGGTATGATGTAGGTACTGTTGGAAGGAGTGTGTACATGTACGGGGGTGGTTGTGTGGGTGAGCGCCGAAATTGGTTGGGGTGTCTCAGACTTCTTAGCAGTGTTGGTCTGGTCTATCTTCTGAGACCAACACACACCTTTCACCCAACGCGCAGCTTGATGAGGGAATGGCTTGAGAGTTCATTCCACTGAAACCCATCACCCCTCTCCAATTCCAAGGCCCGGCCCCCGGTCGCCTTGTACTTGGTTGGTGTGTTATCCGCCACGCCGGAGATGATCAAAGGTGTTCGCGCCTGTGGCTGGTAGGTGTTTTCACCACAGAGACCTGAGCACTTTGCCCCACTTGATCTGGAAACAAGGTTGGTTGAGAGAAAAAACACCGAACTATAAATATAAGTTAAGTTGCTATTTGTTGGATGACTTGAGCAATACTGACATGGTCTCCGGTCTCCAGCACCAAAAACCATTGAATAGGAAGGTCTACAAGGCCACTTGTGACTAGAACACACGTTTCTTCAAGAAAAGGATTGGATGGATTTTGGGGAGGGGGGGCTGTAACTACCTGTGTTTGGGGCTTTTGGGACATGACCTTCCTTTTCTACCGACTTCATCCGATTTGGATCTTCCCTCATGTCACGTCTCAACCTGCGGCCGAGCCAAGCCTCATCAATGAGGATCGAGTCCACCTGCAGCGCTGCACACGTGAGGAGTCGCACGTGGCGCAGCGCGACACGGGCGAAATGCAGGAAAGAAGAAAACTCTGCGGAAAGAAATCCGGGCATGAAAAGCCTGTGAAAGGAGAGATGCCTCTCTAGTTATAGAGTCGAGTTTAAAACCCTATCATGTGCATCTAACAGTGAGGAAAGCCAGCTTGTTTTTCTCTTCACCACCTTGTGGCGCCCCCCCCTCTTTGATCCTGCCGTCTACTTCTGTCTCCTTTCGGCCTCATCGACCACCGCGAAGTTGAAGGGCGTCTGCTCGCGCAGCGCCAGCTCGGAGGGGGAGGGCGCCATCTGGTCGCGCAAGTAATCGAAGCCGAGCTCACCTGGTCGATGCCCAGGGTGTTCGTTCTTCAAAGGTCCAGGGCGGAAGAAGAAGAAGAAGAAGAAAGCTCAGAGTGGAAGGATTCCAAATTTGGCTGATTCTGTCTGAGGGGTATCCATCAAGTCCTATAAAGATGATCCGAAATGTAGAGGATGAAGCTAGGAGCTGGGAGTTTGGAAAAAGCTCTTCAACCGGCTGAAAGGATCTAGACTTTATCTGGAGAGAGCTGCGCAATGCTGTAAAACCCATTGGTTGAGCACCAAACCTGATTTTGCATCTTCGGTACAAATAGTGTGACCAATTGAATCTTTTGGGGCTCCCCAATTCATCTGTGTTCATCTGTGTGGTTTGAACCAGGACCAAGAAGTGGCCTTTCAGGAAAGCAACCTCCTTTGGAGCTGTTTCCTTTCCTTGTATCTCTACCGTGGCTCTACGAGCATTCACAAGCTGGATCTACATGGAAATCCCTCGCACTGGTCTTCAACGTGCTCGTGTTCATACCCATTCGCCCATTCAGCCACTAAGACCGCTAAGACCTTCCCCAACTGGGCACTGAAACCCCCCGCATCCGGTCACAGCTTCCCCTCTCTCTCCCTCTCTTGCAGGCTGATGGCTGTTGGTGACGTAGGTCACGTCATTGCGATAGGCCTTCTTCTTTTGATCCGGTGGCATTCCATTCCTCAGGCGGTCGGTCGGTCGCCCCGACCTCGGCGACCTCGGCCTTCCACCTCCGAACCGGAAACCGACCAGGAGGTCACCCTTTTTGGCATTTGAGAGAAGAAAGGGATCCGGACCAACTTCCACTTCCCAGCTGGATGTGATATGCCATCTATGCCCTCTTCTCACGGCTCCATTTGGAGAAACCCTATGAGTGCATCCACCCACACACCATCCCCATTCGTCTTGACCGCCCCCTCGACCTGCAACACCAGCAAAAAAAGATGGATTTCTGCTTGTTCCTGCAGCCCAGGTACTGAACCACACCCACGGTCATGCCCAAAAAGCGCAAGGGCTGTCCCACCCATTCCGCATCGCGCCGTGCCAAGTAGTCGTTCACCGTGACCACGTGGACACCCTCACGTGTGCGCATGACCGTCAAATCGAGAGCCGAAGGGCTAGACAAACTGACCATCTCTATAGGTTGAGCAGTAAGTAAGTGTGATTTCTTCATAAGCGATGATGATTCTGATGGTGGCAACTGACGGACGCCTGCAGTTCCTGAAAATCCACAGATCCCGTTCCTTCTCTTCTACACACCAGATCACACCAGTGCCCCGCGAAGAACCGGCCCAGAAACGCTCAGGACGAACGGCTCCGGTTCCTCGCGCTTCTCGGAACCTGCGCGCCTTCCCGCTGAGAGCGTTCAGAAAGGCTGCCAAGATGGCCACAAGGGTCTTACCCTGGCATCCGAGACGTGGATCCAATTCCTAGACGTCGTCAGGACGACATGAATTGCTGAGCACCCAAACATCCCACTTCGCCAGGGAGTCGAACGGCGCCCGGGACGTGCTTTTTGCCGCAGCTGCGGAGTCGAACAAAACGTCGGCCCAAACGGCACGTGGCCAGGCCTCGCCGGTGCCCATTTCCGCGATGTTGCCTTCGTGGAGCGCAATGCCTGCGGTGCGGGCGGAGTCAGTCGTCGGCTCGGCCGAACAAAGGAACGGAGGATGGAGATCCCCTGAAAAAAGGGGTGGGAGGCACCCAGCGATCGGTCCGGCGTTGGTGTACCGGACGATACAACTTGATTTTGTGTACGAAAATGGTACAAACGTATATTACATTGTTATGCCTATGGCATGGTCTTCTGGTTGAAACTACTCTACTTCTGGACAAGCACTTTCAAGTGTTTCGGTTCGTGGGGGCTGTTCGTTCCACGAGAATCCGTTTCGCTGCTTCGTTCCTGAAGTTTACCTCCAAAACGTGAAGAGGTGTCCACTTTCTTTTTGTATTAATAGTTGATTTGAGTTATATAGTTAGTGGCTGCTTAATGTTATTTAAAAGATGGTCATCTTCTCCCTTCCAATCGCTTCCGAGACCCGAAATCCCGACCACCCGGTTCACCACGCTTTCCACCCCGCTTCGCCTCCCATGAGCTGCACATCAAAGTGGCGCAAGCCCAACACACGAGTGGAGCCCTGAGCCGATGCGAAACGGCCAACCGCCAACGGCCGGCGGAAAGGCCTTTGTGATTCAACGGCCAACCAGGGCGGAAATGGTTGGGGAGAGAGATTTGTCCAGAAAACCAAGAACTCACTCTCAACATCGCCTAACATCACTACATCACGTGACTATATATGTGATGTGTAAAGCTGACCGTTTTGCCAGTCAGGTTGGCTAGGAACCGTCAAAATCAACGAAAAAAATACAAAAAGCACCTTGAAATTTGAAACCCCAGTTCCCTGGAGAGTTGTTGCTTCTCCACCCTTTTGTGTCCACCCCACTCGCCTCACGCACCAGCGCAAAGGCCTCGGGCAAAAGCTCCTCCAAGGGCGTCCCACTCTGCGCACGCTGCTGCAGGTCCGCCGTCAGAGCACCTGAAGTCCCAACATCAGAGCATCGTCAGATCACTTGGCACCCACGGCGCTCGCGACCAACGCGGGTCGAACCATTCACACCGGTCTCGGGGTCTCCCGGGAGACCGGGTGGAGTGGTGGGGAGAGGAGTCACATGGAGTTGGGTGGTGTTTGGTCCCATCCAGTGAGTGGGAGTAGCTGGGCACCCCTAACCTCCATGGATCGCACCCCTCCCGTCTTGTGACTGGTATGGGCCGCTTTCTTCGAGGACGGGCACGAAGCTGGTCGTCGGACTTCGCTTTCATGGTCTCCTCGAGCGCGTTGATGGCCTAGAGCGCGCGGGCTCGGCGCAGGCGAAAGAGCAGGCAACGGACTTGCAGTTTTGCGCTCATCTTCCAGGCTATCTGGATCATGACCTGGTGTCTGAAGCTGATACATGGGGCTTTTACCATGAGATCCTCCACACCTGGGTGTGGCGTGCTCCATTCAGGATTCCAAATGAGATCTGAACAGAAAACGAAACATCACAAAACGCAGCCCCTTTGGCCTGAACTTGTGGCTCATAGCGCTTCTGAGTCTGCTTCTCGGGGGCCTCGTAGAACCTCAGATGCATTAATCCAGCTTTGGCATGACAAAGGTGTCGAAGGAAGGCGTGAAAGGGTGTGAAAGGGGATTGAAAGGGTGGTATTTTCTGCATGTTCAGATCTTTTTGTCATCGTCTAAAGCATCCGAGTCCAACCGCAGCACTTTCCCACCAAACCTTGAGATTTTCTCCTACAAAAGCCCAAGAAAGGTGGATCCTCTTCGCGTCTTTCCAGGTCGCAAGGCTGAGGGGCCAAAGGATGCCAAAAAGGTAAAGACGAATCTTCAGGGTTGTGGCAGAAAGCCCAAGAATCCAACAGATCATCTCTTGGAACGCCTGTGGCCTCCTTTCCCGTCTTCAGAGCCACCCACCAGCAGAAATGCAGCTGGGCAGCGGATTCAGTTGTTCCATGTTGCCAAACAGTCTCCGCGGCACCCGCGCGCGCTGCGCGCGCTGCGCCCGCGCGGCACGGAGGGCTCGGCTGCGGAGGCCAGTGCCCACCAAGGCACCTAGAACTGTTCCAAGCGCAAAGCAGCCAAGGAGGTACATCGAGACCACTCACGGAAAGAACATGCAAAGGTCCAGCTTTCTGGGATGAGGATTACTGGATGCATGAGACCTAAATTCCACACGGAACCGGGGATAGCTAGTATGCTTCTTGACCTGAGTATGAAGAATCAAGACTAAAGACAAAAGGCCTGTATACGACTAAGAGAGTCTGGAACTCTTTCACCTTGACACACACAAAAAACATCTGCAAATATGCACAAAGGGGGGGTCAAAAAGAATGAACGGGGTGTCTAGAGTCTTGGATTCGATTTGCTTCTTGTCTCGTTCCAAAGACCTCCAGGGCCACTTACCTTCGAACTACTTGTAACTTTCATCCTCGTTCAACCTCCCTTTCGAGCCAAGCCGCCCATAGACACCAGCTTCACTGCATCGCCTGATGTCCCCCAGACACCGACAGGGATCTTAGCATGCCATGCTTTTGGGGTGTCTGGAATTGCCCCACAGCCATACCAAAGCATACCTAGGACACCAGAGTATTTGGAATTGTCTTTTTGCAAAACTCTACAGATGTCTGTCGCTTGATTGTTTAGTCGCTTTCTGAGAAAACCGCTGCTTCATGTTTGTTTGCCTGCCACTTTGGACCCAAAACGTCATGTCGCTTTTGAAGCGTCGGCAGAAAGCGTCGTGTCATGGAAACTGCGGCGTCGCGCCACTTCGGCGCCGCGCCGGTTCGTTTGTTCGTTGTGTGGTCATCTCTCCCATCGGTTTACCACAAGTTTGTGCCGCACTACAGAAATGTCCGCCGCCTGCCGAACGATGTCTTTTTTTTCAAAACAACCAAATAAGGATATACCAAGGAGCATGCCGGATAGTGGAAGAACACTCTAAAACTATGGGGGTGTATTCCCACAGGAACTGTTTTTGCTATGGCACAGCTGATGGAAACCTTTTGGAGGGTTATCGGAGGTGTGTTCCTATGAGATTTACAACTCTTACCTCGTCTTCAATCATTATCATTATTGGAGTCGTGCCATCATGTGCCATCCTGTGAACCAGCTGGATTTCGTCAAAAGGCCTTCTTCCCCTTTGAAGCGCTGCATGTGAAGCAGTCTGAAGATTCCGCATGTAGACT